TGGGGGTGGAATGTGTCAAAAGGCATACTCCCTAACCTCTGCCACAAGAAAAGGATGGGAGAAAGCACAGAGCTTCTCAAGATCTCAGAAAGGATGATACATTTCCTCCCTTCAGCCAAGTAAAGAGAGTGAGATATAGAGGGGAGTCACAGAGATGGTTACTGCACTGTTATCACAGTGGTGTATCAGGATTACTCTGTGACTTCTCTGATGCTTTCTGAAAGCAACAAAACACAGAGGATTGTACCTTGCCCCTTTTTTTCAGTTGCTTTCTCTCTTCAATTGTGGTAAGATAGTTCACTGCTGCATATTCGATGACAGACAGGAAGACAAAAAGGAAGCTGATCCATAAATACACATCCACAGCCTTTATGTAAGACACTTGAGGCATTGAGGCACTTACTCCTGTCATGATGGTTGACATTGTCAGCACTGTAGTTATACCTGCCAAAGAAAAAGGGGAGATTATCATAATGCTGGCCAGCTGGTTCTGTTTAGTTCATCGCTGTTGCTTGGACAGCACAGCTTTGTGAGGGCATATGATTGACACCACCTTTAACTTCATTGCACAGGCTCTGAAGAGTGGAGTGAACCATGAAGGACTTATCACATACAATACCGAAAACAGTAAATCATCTCTCTGCTCTGTGTGCAGTTAGAGCTTCAGCACAGCAGGTTCGAACAGCGCGGACACAACGGTGGTGATTCAGCAGCGTAAGGAACATATTTCTGTGACAGCTTCAAGGAACTGCTATAGAGAAGTGAAAGCAGGCTGTGGTCTTCCCTCACTTCCCAGAGCCAGGGTCTCCACTACACACTGTCTTGTCCTGGAGAATCCCTAAAGAATCACCAGTTTCCCTCCCAAGTCCTTCTCAAATTGTACTTCCTGAGAACAGATATCAGCTTGTATGTCTCTGTCTCTGTCATAACTGCATGGCTGTCTAAAAACACTCTAGCATAAAAATCCTATATCCATTGAAACTACGAAATGTTTTTTGTTTACTTCAGTGTATCCAGAATATCACCCTCATCTCTTCAGTCTTTGCTCTCACATGCAGCTATTCATCGCATTTTGTTCTCCTCTATCTCAGAAAAAAAAACCCAAACCTCCCAACACCAACCCAGGCCCTGCTTTTAAGGAAATTAATGTAACACTGGAAGTGAAGACATCCCAGTAACATCTGTGAGACAGCACTGGCTGATAGCATGGACTTTCAGCTGGGTCTCAGTATAGCCTTTCTCCAGTTTTATGCTTAGTTCAAGCCCACTGGAACATACAAGAGTTTTCCCTCTCCCTCTCTGCAAGTTCCTTAGGTTGAAGGATGGAGTTTGAAATATTCCATATAAAGGGCAATCAATTTACTTAAAATATGTGTACTCCAGGCTAGGGAGCAAAGGTTTTTAAGCTTTGTTTTTAACATTGCCCATAAATTATACATGCTTATGCTAACGAAATGTGTGTTATTCATAGAACTCCTGATGCATAACCTTCTGCAGAAATCCATATATAATTTAAAGAACATGATCAGCAAAACCATCTTGACAACATTACAAATGACCTACTGAGATTTAAACTTTATTTTTAAAGATGAAGTTAGATTTCTTATAAATAAAAGGAATTGGTAGATGCATTATTAAAAGTAGGTAGGAGGTACCATAATCTGGTTTTAGACTAGCAAATAGATTTATATCTCATGTATTAATAGCTTTAGACTGTGCCAATAGAAAGGGATCTGAGGTAGCTATAGTCCTATTTTTTCTAGATTGATACAGCTATTGATAAAAATTGAGGGCTTCCTCAGTACATGCGAGTTTGTTTCTTAAACAAAGATCCTCAAATTTTCACTTGTCTAAGAAACATAGCAACATGCAGTTGGCTTCTGGGACTAGCATCAGCAAGAATAAAGAACAGGAGCTTCTTTACTAACTCTTAAACCACCAGTTGCAGGACTCAGATACATTATGATTCTGTTAGATATCTTAAGACATTTCCCTCAGATCTTCATAGAGATGCCAATCTTTGAAACAATGTACTCATTCCAAGGCCACCAGCATTAAATTCGCAACAAAGGCAGTCTTGAAGTGGTATCAAGTGATTCAACACTGAGAAAAACAATAATGTTATAAAAAATTCACTGTAATTAGTCTTTTTCTCCTGAGCTGTGGTGTTCAGAACTAAAACTGGGAGAGCAGAAAGACATCCAACTTACTCTTTGGCTTCCACGGAAGCCTGTGGGCCTTGCACAGTGAAGGCACCAAAGCAAGCATTTTCAAAGTGCCTAGCAAAGAAAGGCTTTGCTATGTAGGACAAGGCAGGAAACTGCTTCCAGGTTGGTAGGAAGATACCAAATGTTTCCAGGGAGAAGGCAGAGCTGCAAAGCTTTTAAGTAGATTGTGCTATGGTTATTAAGTGTCTCTCATGAACCATGGATTTGGGGAGGGATCTGACTACCTGTTACTACCTGTTACTTTGCTGGGAAGAGGGGAAGAAAAAAACAACCCAGGCTTTGGGGGGAAAAAAAAAAAAAAAAAGAAAAAGGAATGAAGTAAAATTCTGCATAGGGAAATGGGCAGAATCATCCTTTTTCCTACTGTGGTGTGTGAGCTGTTTTCTAATATAGCAAAGCCAGTCTGAACAAACATTCCAAACGTAGAGGTTGACTAAATGAGTTTGCAGTAGTGACAACAGTGGCAATAATAGTGTTGTTCAGGCAATTACCTGACATACTTGCTCATGTTCTGTGTAAATAAGAAGCCAAGGTAACTTCAAAACCTCTCCCCTATTCATCCTGTACTTCCCAAAAGAACAGACATTAAAGGTTTACCTAGTGATACCCTGGCAGGAACGGCTCTTCTGTCAATCCAAAATGAAACCCAAGACAGCATCACCATCAGCATGGCTGGGAAATAGGATTGTAGCACAAAAAAGAAAATATGTCTCCGGAGTGCAAAGTTTATAAAAAGTCGGTTGTACCAACCTATTGAAAAAAAGAGAGAGAAATGGGTTGGGGGAGAACAGAAGAGAGCTGTGTTATTTGTGAGCTCTGTTCACTGGCCCCCTCCTTCCAGTAGGAAAGGTGTAGCCACATCAGTAATAGTAAATGCCTAAGAAATATGGCCACTGCCTTGGTTTTATATAGTGCTTTACAAACTGTCCATCATACCTCATTAAAATACTGCTGCCTTGGAAGTGAAGCATCACGACTGCACAAATAAAATACTATATTATAATTGAGGTTAGGAAATTGGAAAAAAAAAAAAAAAAAGTAAATAGACTTTAAGTGAAACTGCCGGGAGAATACAGCCAGAATATAATTGTTCAATCCAGCTCGGACAGTGAAGCCAACACCCTGCCTCGCCCAAAAACTAGCCTGCCTTCTCTCACGCTACAAATACCTAATAACAAGCAGGACTTCTTTTCTTGCGGTCAGAGCCATTTGCCTGATCAGCGTTGACTTTAGAGGAAAGGGTGCCATCTAGTGAATTTTGAGGCATGCTCTGTCTGTGCAACAAAGCACGCGTGCTATATAATCTCCTACGATGGGAGAGAAATCAAGATGTAGTGAGACAGAAAGAAGACAGAAGTGGCTGGCTGCGCAGCGTCTGCCTGTCCAGTACAGAGACATCAATGAGCCTGTGTTGGAGCAGTCATGCCGTCACAAAGAGCGACTTTATAAAAAATAATATCTCAGCAATAACCCCATCAAATATTAAACACACTCTATTGAAAGAGCTAAACTCTGACAGTCTCTGGCTTAGGCCTCACTGTGATCTGTTTAGTTTTACTTGCGTCTTTGTTTTCCTGAGTTTTTCTTCCCCCACAAGGATGGTTTTAGCGATTTGCTGAGCAAAGGTGGTAAATAGATAACATCTTGCCTGACACCAAGGAGACAAAGCTATCTACAGGAACGCCCAGCAAACATCTACACGGCTGCTTGTTACAAGAGGAGGTTGCATCAGAAAAGGGGCCCTGGCTTGTGCTCAAGAAGGAAGATTCAACTAGCGTGAGGATGACTATGAGCAACCACCGGAAGATGAAAAGACCCTAACCCTAAATTTACTGCGCATGCTTGGACCATGTAGATGAATTCCGGGAACTCATCACCATAAGACTGCCCTTCTCAGGAAATCTAATGAATATGTATGATTTTTGTGTATATGAACCGGTGTGTTTTGCTAACCCGTTGGAGCACTCATGGTGGAGCATCCCCAGTGCTGCCCAGCGCTGCAATAAAGAATGCCTGCTTAATAACACTCTGTTGTTATTGAGTTTTCATCTCGGAATCCTTACCCAGCCGCATCTAGCCTCCCATCTCGGTGAGGAGTGTTAGAAAGCAAGGGGGTTTGGAAGCTCCGAATTTTGAATCACTATGCGTTTTCATTAGTGGAGAAGGTTTTTGGTTTTAAAAATTATAGTCTCAAAAATGGATTGAAATTGTTGCTCCTTTGGAGGCCAGGGAACTCCAGAAGCCTAAATGCTACACATGTGTAGTTCGCTGAGATTCACAGGAAAGGATATGCAGAAGGCTGCTTTGTAAGCAGTATTTTTGTCCATTTTTTGCCTGAGATTCTTCAGGAGGAGCTGGCTCCCAATAGACTTGTGTTGATTGATCCCCACTCTTACTTACTTCAGGGGGTCTATGTGTAATCATCTTCCAACAAGAAGCAAAATAACAGAACGAGACAAAGTGCAACCTCTTGACTGAAACAAAACCTCAAAACCAAAGAAAAGTGTATGTCTACAAAGGGCGGTGTTCTAATTAGCAGATGCGGTACATGCATTATTCAGGTACTTCCTGTGGTCCCTGAGACTTATAAAATAAGTCTTTCACGTTTACCCTGCTGAGTAAGCTCATCATCAAAACATCTGCATGTAAGTGTGAAGCAGTTACACTTTGCAAAGTCGAAGGTGCTGTGAAGGTGCTGCAAAGGCCTGGGTACAGGGGTGGTACGAGGTTGCACTGTTGGGCACAAGACTGTATTTACTTGTGGAAGTGTTTTTTTATGACCAAGGCAGAAAGAAGCCAGGTGAGTTCCCAGAACCCGGTTTCAATACACAGTTTGGTGGAAAACATCCCAGTCTCCTTCTTGCAACAAAGACAAATTTGACGTAGCTCTCAGCAAGGATAGTTACGATAGTAAGGGTATCACTTGCCCTCTTCTCACGTGACAGTGGCTCTTGAAAGCTGGAGGTCTGTTCTTAGCTCATACGCGAGCAAGAGATAAGGATGAAGAACCCAATCAAGCTGTGAATTCCTCACTGCTTAGGCTGTGTCATAATTTAAACTGGAATTTCTGCCGCCGCGAACTTGAATGCCTCTTTTTTAAATGCAAAAGGAAGCTATCTTGTAAATAAAATACAGTAAATAAATCTATTTGCAGCTTTCCTGTATGTCTTAATGGCTTTTTTCCAAAGTGTTATGCATTTCATCATATTATATGGAATAATTTCTATAGTATTAATCTGCCTTTATATAAAGGGCAATATCCACACCGAAATGAATTGACTCAGACTGGAAAGCACAGTAGCAAGCATGCTATTTTATCTAGTTAAAATGCACGGTTAGACTACTTGCATAGAGAAGTATTTCAAAATTTGTAATTGCATGCACAAATACAAAGAAAATAAAAAAGACCTCGATGAAATCAAGACTATTAATAAACTCCTAAAGCCTTGTGCATTTGTCAGAAAGTGTAGTTCAAGATGTAGAGGGAGAAATAAAAACCTGTCAGGGGCAGATACCTATATTTAAACAATGTAGCACTGACACAAAGGGATTTTTTTTTCCTGCAACTTTATGTGTAAACATGGAACATTAAAGCAAACCCTGAATTAGACCTCAACAGGTTATAAGTGTTCTCACATGGAAATCTTATAGTTAGTAGACTTTTAATGACATTTTACAGCTCCAAAAAAATAAACCACACTGGGGTTCCTCTGGTTTGCTTTCTAGTACTTGTCCCTTTAGGGTTTGCATTTTCAAGCTTTTCTGTTTAACCAGGACCTAAAGATTCCTGTAAACCAAATAGTCCAGTGGCTTTCAGAGAAGAACCATGATTTTGCAAGAGCTCACAACAGCATGTATTTGGTTGTTGTGCATTTTTTTCTAGGTTCTTATTGTCAGATGTTAAGTTATATTATGGCTTCTTCTTCTAATATCAAGAAAGTGTTACATATGTAATGTAAAGAGATTCGAGGACCTAGGCTGGCAGACCAGTGTGATTGACAGACCTCATTTTAACTGTGATCTCTCAGCAGTTAACAGTCATTTATTATCAATGAATTCGGATGTGAAAGACATTCTGCATGATTGTGTCCTGTGCTTTTCTCTTCTAATGACAGGAGCTTACTATACCAGTACTGCTGTAAAAAGCTAGTCCACTGGAAGCACTGAATTCTTCGATGAAAAACTGGGAGAGGGAGATGTGCTCATCTGTGCTCAGGGACTTGTTCCCGTGTTTCCAGTATAACATCAGATCATCTTCATTGTATGCATCTATGAGAAAGTAAAAACTAAATCACCTCTTCTGCTGGTACAACACTTCTGTTTCTTTTCTTAGGGATAGAAGACCACTCAAACAATTTGGGAAGGCCCCAAAGAAACATTTTTTTTCACATCAATTCGCCTGCTAGTTGACATGGAAAAATTTGCAAACAACATATTACACCTTCTTCCAAGTGGAGCCCAGTCCTGTGCCCTGACAGCAGAGCTTACGTGACAGACAGGGGACATGGGCATGCTCAGCATCACAGGGCACACAGGGGCGGAGCCCTGGCGATGCCACACTGAGCAGGCTGTCTGAACACTGGGGATCTGTTCTCTTTTCCAAGACTAAACAACAAACCAGCATCCCAGTTTTACTCGTAATCCAAATAAGAATAAAGTTGGAAATCTGAAAAGGCTCTGCAAAAATTATTTACCTTTTGTTGTCCAGTTCTACAGCTTACTACAGACAACTGAGTCAGGGGCGAGAAAGCAGACATTTAACAGAAACACAAACACTAATTTTCATTTTTCCTTGGGGTCAAATCTTACTTTACTTTTAACTTGCACTTTTTTTTTTTCCCTCAGAAAAAAACCCATGATTTTTGACAGATGAAACATTTTTAGATTTAGGCCTTGGAATATCAACACAGACAAAGCAAAGCATGGGGCATCATGGTTTTTCTATCTTCCCAAAGCTCATCGAGTTCTGCAAAGATCCCAAACTGGCCATCGTTTAATATGTACAGGTTGAAGGGTTCAGGTCACACATCAAAATAAGTGAAAAGGTATTATGAACAAGATGGAGTGCTGATAAAAATGCACATGTAAAGAACAGGTATGAATTAAACTTACAGCTTTCCAGTTCTAAAGAACAGTTCTGGGTGTCCAGGGGAAACCTACTGAAATCCATGAAACACATAGCAGAAACTGTTATTCTGCAAAAAGGAACAGAAAAACATGAATTAAATGAAAAAGTTCACACTACCTTAGGGCTGTGCAGACATCTTGGCGAGATTCCCAACCGATCTGCTGTTTAGAAACTTAATGATTGAGGTTTTCTATTTTTTTTTTTTTTGAAGGCTTCTAAAATTGCTTCAAGATAGTGAGAGAAAAATAAATCAGTGAGAGAATATATATTTTAAAAATAAACATTCTAATTAAGTACATTACCTTAGATTCTTAAATCCTTTACTGGCCTGATCCTTCATTAGCCCTTCACACATTTGCTTTGAAGGGTTACACTTCTGAAGATTAACAAGGGGAGTCCACATTTCTTGACAGGATTTCTCAGAGGTTGAAGCAGATAATATTACAGATTAGAGCAAATACTATTCCAAGTGCTATTTTCCCAGCTAGAATGGTTACAATATTTAATTGCATAAAAACATAAACTGCAATTTCTGGAAGCCTACTCTCCTCTTCGACACCATGGAAATGCCTTATACTCTAAAAAGCTTAAGGAAATCTTGGGAAAGACATTATTTTGCATTCCATGTGTATTTTTACAAATTTTTAGAAGATGTCCCTTGACATTTTAAACAATAAACAAAAAACAGGCTAGAGGCAGCAATTTAAATATGGTAAATATTGCCAAATTTCCCTCTCTTGTCACAGGTTGCATGTCATTTGATGTTTTAGTTTGATTTTTTCAATTTTCCCCAAACTGAATCCTAGAGGGATTTAAGTGAAAGGGATATACTTGGTATATAAGTGATTTTTGAAAACTTGTGATCGGTAATCACACTGTCGCTGAATTTTTTACAAGTGTGAGGTTTTACTGGCTTGAAATGAGATTGTAAGAGTGGTACACCTTTAAAATAATTCATAAGACTTTCAACTATGGATGTTGTTTCCGTCTTTTAGGTATTGACTAAAGGATCAGGGGAACAACAAGAAAATGTTGATTAAAAAAAAAGAGACTGTTTTAGCAACAAAACTGGACTTTTCATCTGCTTTCCTTCAATAAAATCCTGGATGCTAGGCAGAACATCTGATTATTTAGGAACATACGCATTAACACCACTCAGGCTAGAAATGCATTGTTTCACGTTAATCATTTTAAAACCTTGGTTCACCAGCCTTTACATCAACCCTTTCCCTGCCTCTCAGTTTGGTAAGAACTGATAGAAAAGGAAAGGAAAAGGACAGGACACCTGCCCTTCATGCTTATCAGGAAGAAATCCACAGGTTTGGCAGGAACTTTAGGGCTTTGCTAGTCAGTGGCACAGAACGGTAAGGCTGGCTGCAAGCTCAGCTGTTAGAGCAAGGAGGACTCACCCAGTACACACCTTCTGATAATGCAAGGTTGGGCTAAAGGTAACTGTGGGAGCAGAGAGGACGAGGGCAAGGAAGAAAAGTAGAGCAGCTTGCAAATGTGATGCAGGACACAGGGCAAGGGCTCCCTTCACAGAGGGGATTCCAAGCAATGAGTGGACCTAGCAAACTGATTCCAACTGTGTCTGTCCCTCAGCTCTAATTCCTCCTCCTTCCCTCCCATCTCACTTTTTCCTTTCTCTCCATTTCTGCCCTTCCCAGAAAATGCTCCTTCCCTTTGGTTTGTAACTACCTGTGCACAATTTGTTGCTCTTAATCTTGATGATACTTTACCTCTCTAGCGAGCTGACAGAATGTGTTTGCCCAGCTTATGTCTCTTCACCACTCCTCCCCCAGCTGAACGTGTGTCATACCCCTCACAGAGAGAGCCACCACTGTAAGCCTTAGCATAGTAGTGTACTTCCTCTGATCCCTCTCACTCTCTCATGAAGCATGGAAATAAAATGCATACTTCACCACATTGTTTCTTACTGGTCAATGTGATTCTTGAACATACACTATTTTAAAGTGGTGTGCAGCCGTTGTGAGGGCTTCTGCATGTCTTCATGAGAGGGTAGATAAATTCATTACTTGTTGGAACAATTATTACATACCCAAAAATCTTAAGCATTTGCATAAATCTTCAAACTATCCAGATTAGAGGAATTATCACCTTGGAGAAGTCTGATTTCTGCAATGCACAAGCCTTTACCCGAGGGGTAAAACTCCTCCATTAAAACTATTTCTGCTACGTCATCCAAATCTGCTTCATAAAGAAAGGAAATAACACACAGATAGAAGGGAGACACATTTAATGACCTTGCTGTTCCAGTCCTGGAATTGCTGTTTCACTTTCCAGTTCCTTATAGTCACACAACATTCCTGTCTAACATTACTGGTATCAGCATCAACAATCCACTCTCTCTACCTATCTGGAGCCCCGATTAATATCAATGGCATGTTTACAAGCATCCCAAGAGCAGTGGATTTACCCTGGCTGCACACCAGGTGCCCACCAAAGCTGGTCTATCACTCCCCCTCCTCAGCTGGACAAGGGAGAGAAAATATAGCAGGCTTGTGGGTTGAGATAAGGACAGGGAGATCACTCACCAATTACTGTCACAGGCAAAAGATTCGACTTGGGGAAAAATTAATTTAATTTATTACCAATCAAATAAGAGTAGGATAATGAGAAATAACCCAAAATCTTAAAAAAAACACCCCACTTTCTCCCACACCTTTCTTCTTCCTAGACTCAACTTTTCTCCCAAAATACTCTACCTCCTCCCCACTCAGCAGCAAAGTGGGACGGGGAATGGGAGTTGTGGTCAGTTCATCACACACTGTTTCTGCTGCTCCTTCCTCCTCAGGGTGAGGTACCCTCATGCTTTTCCCCTGCTCCAGCGTGGGGTCCTTCCCATGGTAGACAGTCCTCCACGAAGTTCTTCAACATGAGTCCTTCCCACAGGCTACAGTTCTTCACAAACTGCTCCAGCGTGGTTCTCTTCCATGGGGTGCAGTCCCTCAGGATAAGGCTGCTCTAGCATGGGTCCCCCAGGGGGTCACAAGTCCTGTCAGCAAACCTGCTCCAGGGTGGTCTTCTCTCTCTCTCCACGGGGCCACAGGTCTTGCCGGGAGCCTGCTCCCAGCCTGTGGAGCATCCACCTGCTCCAGTGTGGGGTCCTCCATGGGCTGCAGGTGGATATCTGCTCCAATATTAACCTCCATGGGCTGCAGAGGTACAACCTGCCTCACCATGGTCTTCACCACGGGCTGCAGGGGAATCTCTGCTCTGGTGCCTGGAGCACCTCCTGTCTCTCTTCACTGAAACTGGTGCATGCAGTTGCATGTCTCATATTCTCATTCCCCTCTTCTCCAGCTGCAATTGCTGTTGCACAGTAGTTTTTCATCTTCTTAAATACATTATCCCAGAGGCGTTACCGCTGTCACTGATGGGCTCAGACTTGGCCAGTGGCGGGTCCATCTTGGAGCTGGCCAGCATTGGCTGTATCGGACATAGGGGAAGCTTCTAGCAGCTTCTCACAGAAGCCATCCCTGTAGGCCCCCCCACTGCCAAAACCTTGCCGTGCAAACCCAATACAGCAGGACGAAAATAGCTGAGACAGTGTTAGACTCAGGGGGGGAAAAAAACCCAAACTCACCATTTGCTCTTTACTAATAGTTTTGGGCTTTACTATACTCAACAGTAAAACTACTGCAATATTGCTAAAACCACTGGCAATGAATTAACACTTGATAAACTTCAGTGCTATTTACAACAGATGAAAACCTGCTATTATCCTGTGACAGGAAACAATACATGAATGATAAAAAAAATTATCTATATGTTATCGATGCCAAATTTGTTTTCCTGATGGTACACTGGTGACCAGCTCCCATTATCTGATGCCAGGGGATCAGTCCAGTGTCAGAAGCTTAACTGCAAATATTTCCAGTAGATTCTCGCTGTACAGACAATTGGTCCACAATTGCAGTCATGTATTTTCATATAAAAGGGTATTGTTCTTACCGTAGACTGAAGAGTACATTGCCATCAGGGTATACTCTGAGCATGACGTTTTCCACAGTTGTATCATGGATGAAAGCTCTTTTGGAGTGTACAAAAAATACATCAGGTACCCAGATCTTTTTTATCAGTCTTCCATCAAAAGTCATGCTTTTGTTTTTGTTACTACGAAATGAAAGTCTCTCATCCTTCCAGTAATGTCTGAGATACAAAGTCATTGTGAAGTCCTTTGTTTAATTAAAAATAAAAGAAGACAATGCTTGTTTTATTCACGTACAATAGAAAACAGTACAAAGTAATCAACTCATGCAAAGTTTCTTCTCTGAACATCATCTGTAAGATTCTCAATGAGAGGACTCAAACGCTGCTCAATTAATTTAAATATAGATTAGAACTACCTCTGAGATACTGGCTGTTTGCCTTGTCACTGGTGTCTGAGCCTGAGGTTCATACTTCATTTATATTTAGATAAACTTTTAGAGATTTCAGTGGTCTGCTGGATTGGGCCATCAGTGAAGTGATAAAGAAACTTTTAAACCAACCAAAGGCAAATGAAAAGGGGATTCCTTTGGAAATCTTCACAGTCTTTTCCCAGAACGTACTGTGGTTCCTTTACAAAGGGATTAATTTGAGTTCTTCATAAGCATTAGGTCAATTTGTAAAATCCATTAATCTGGACATTTTGTACAAATATTCCACTGGGCTTTTAGATCAGTACATTTATGAGTGAAATGCATCAAAAAGAAACTATGATGAATTTCATAAGAGTAAACAATTAAATTTCAGAAGAATTACAATTTTTTAAAAAACCATGAAAGATGGTTACAAATATTTTATCATCCTATTTAGAGAAATAATACGACTGCAAATATATATGTGGAAAGACATGGAGAGGATGCTGCAAACCCAGTCAGAGCTTCTGCACAGCTCAACTGCTCTGCACTCACCTATGTATTATGCAGACTTCATTTATCTCGGTAGAACAATTACTTCTGATAAGAATACTGGGAAGATACTCAGGTTTCCCCCTGTAACATGATTTTATGATTTGGGTAGGTTTGCAAAGGAATGTTCATACTGACAGATCCCATTGCGAACTCATCACCTCCAAATACAGCTACACTCTCTGTGAAAAGATACTGTAAATGAGATCTCTGCAAAGTAAACATGCCCTGCCATTCTAGGACGGGGCAACTTGGCACTGATGTCTGGGAGGCGTTATTAGTGACAACTTCAGCTGAGGAATGAACTGCCTGCATTCCAGTGCTACAGGTCCTTGATTGCAGCGAGGGTGTCTCCTTCCTAGGACCATTCCTGGAACTAATTTTTCTATTTCCATTTGTTATGGCCTCAGCTCCACCCACGCCAGAAATTATGGGAATATTCAGATCTGCATGAGCAAATGACATGAAGCCTCCTCACCTAGCATGCAGAGCACTAAGAGCTCATGTAGAAGCCCATGGGGCTTACTGAATGGTTCGCATATTCAAATCAGAGCACCATCCACTCTGATATGTTCCTCTTGCCCAGGGAGAAATTCGACATGTGCTCTTATATTACACTTATTAGTTTAAATGAGTACGACTTGCACGCTTCAAGGCAAGGTTGTGCTCTTCAAGGAGTTGCTTTCTTTAACTACTATTCTGTACTATCCAGCTGGATGTTTCTGAGACCATGAATTTTGGCTGAAATTCTTTATTCCAGTTCTATTAACCAACTTACCATGTCAACTTCAGATATACTGTCAATGCTTTCTACCTGCACATCAATGCCCACAGGTATTGGCGACCCTTGAATGTAACAGAATAAGAGAGATGAGGAACGTAAATCCATATTTTTAAAAGGAAGACTGTATATTAGCGACATACAGAGAGTACCCCATCCCAGCATTTACTATGGTCTGTCTATCTTAGTACACTGATTGAGAAAGTCCATGGTAAAAAAAAAAAAAAGTAAAAGATGATGCTAAGCAGTTGTAAAAGTAAGCACAAAACCTTCAGTGATCTTTTTGCAGCCAGACTAGTTGTTACTGGCATTGCAGTTTGGACAGCAGTGATGGCTTCCTTGTGGTGCCAAAGCTAATGAACTGCTTGGAGTGCTATTTAGAAATGTCACAGGGAAAAGCTGAGTAAATATATCAAATACATCAAAGACTGAAAATGTTCTTACCACTTCCAATGCCTATTCCCACACTTATAAACAAAACATCTATTAGGCCTCCTAAATATCTTTAGTTACTTAACTATTTAAAGTTCGGCATAGGTATTTGTGAAAAAGCATTGCTTGCTCACTATCTCATAAGTGAAGAGCTGTACACGTACTAGGCATGTTATGTGATGGAGTGTTTTGTATTACCTAGTACATAACTTCTTATCAAGTACAATACATACTAAACTGCACTAGGGGACTTTATTTTATATACTACCGTACTATTTCATGCCATTGAAAAATGTTGTGAGTTCATAACGCAATGGGATCTGAATGAACAAACAGTTCATTTGCAGTTTTACAATAAAGTGACTAAAAAATCAATTTAAAATTGATTAAAATTTTAAACGTAAAACAAAACATAAAAATATTTCCGGTCTCTTCAGTGCACAATACCTGGAATGAAGGAGCTAGTTCTATAAAGGTTATGCACCTGTGTAATTTTCAGCAAGCAAGTCATTCCACCAAATCAGTTGACTAATGACTTCCTTACAGAGAAGAGATGTGTGTATATATGTGTATACACCGACACCCGCCCCCCCGCCCCCCCCCCAAATATTCTACATTTGGCATGAAAATTGCTAGTAATTATTGTACACAGGATTCCAATTACATTTGTTAAAAATAGTCAGTTAAAATATTTTTAAAGTACACATTTAAAATAACCCGGTACAAAACATAAGTACAAGGAAGTCTGAACAGCAGGAGATAGCAACAGCTTTTCTAACGTGTCTTTCTCTTTTTCTTGTCATTCTCTTTTCCTTTTGTCAGTGTCAAGCTCAAATAGTCCAGAAATATCACTCTCCTTATAACCAGCCACAATACTATGTCTCATTTTTGGAATTATCCTTAAAATAGCAGCCCTTGAGGATTACACAGCTGCCTACAGATCTTACCAGTAGAGATCTCGAACTATTTTTGAGGTATTTTAAAATCTGGCTCTGTAATCTCTTTATATGACTTTTATTTTTAATGGGTGGTTTGACCCTGCACAGAACAGATGAAGATGCATTGTGCATGGGAAAGCAAGGTAAAATGCGTTCAGAGTTAGCAGGGCACTCAGGAGCATGTTTCAGCATTGAGAAGAGCTGTGCTGCCTGGATCAGAAATCACATCTCCCTCAGAGGAATGCATCGCTCTGTCAAAGCTCAAAACAAAATTCAGGACTACAGACAGAAAAGTTCAGTAATTAGTTTATTAGTAAAACACTAGTTGCGAAAATCTGCTTCTTTTGGAGAATAGAGAGAGCAGGAGAAATCTGCCCTAGAGCTGACGCACAAGGGTATCAATGTATATATTCAGCCAGGCTTCTTCACATAAACAATACATATTTTTTATGCCTCTCCTAAACCACTTTTAACCATTTCTTGTCTTTCTTTTGACCATACCACACAAATAGTTTACTTATGCTAAATACCAACTTGTACCAAGTACTGGTACAAAAATGCCTGGTTGTAATCTGAGTGGAATTGTCTTCTCAGTATTCCACTGAAATCTAAACTATCTTGTAAACTAAAGACAGGTTAATCTAAGTAGCAGTCATTGTGGGATTTGTACATGATGGGAACATCGTTCACAAATGGCATTCACACATCGTTTAAATGGAAACAGAGCAGAAAGATGAGGTGTTGCCTGTGAAGCTCCTCGTTTGCATACGAAACAGGACAAGCCTACATTGCAGAGCTGACAGCTGAGCTGGCTGTACACAAAGCAGGGTTGCTCAGGGAGCAGGCTAGCTGTAGAAGCACAGTGCTCTATCCTAGGAGCTTGAGCAATACAAAATGCTGACTGATATGCAAATAGCGTTGAAGATAGAAACCTGGCCTCAGCCCCTGGCTCCCTTTAAAGCCTATGCAGCGTAACAGGAACATCGTAGATTGGGGTGAGATGGCTTGTGACTAGTAAATGCCTGTTGGTTACCAGGGTTGCTTAAGAGCATCTGTAATAGGCAGATGATCTGTGTATTATCTAACCTTACCCACCACAAAGCTTCAACTTCTTGATATTGTAGATTCGTCCAAACTTTTACCCCATGACTATGGCAGAGGCGCATGCTAGGATATACTGGAAGTGCTCATATCTGGGTGTACATTTGATCTTAACTGCTATTACTAAAAAGCTGGGACATGATTTGCTTGACTAGCCTGGTGAAAACAGGAGGTTTATTCCTATTTATGTAGAATCATGTGAGTGGGAGGAGAAGGGAGCAGATCTCTACATAAAACAATGGTTTTATCAGTTTCTGAGTCCAGGACAAATCTAAAGCAAATTAAGTTAGATGTGTACCATCAACATTCTGCAAACAGGAAAGGAGCTACCCACAAATCATACCACAGAGCAGGATGACTGGCTGCCTAAGCCATATATCATGTGTAGTGAGGAAATTGTTTTTCTTAGAGGCAGCTGCTCAGATTCGGATGATTACAGTCCTAATACTTTCTTGGGCTTTGTGAAAATTACAATTTCCTACCCCAACAAGCAGTATATGGTAACAATTTCTTTCAATAATTCACCTCATCTGGGCAGATATAAAAACACTGATCACTAGAAATTAGTGGCAGTTTATGATTACTTCGGTTACATGCACACAAATTGAAGTGCCAGTTACATAGAAATGCACACAGAGGCACTTGATTCTTTGAAAAAAACAACTTTTTCCCCAATAAGTTGGGAACTGTATAAAACCAAGTCAGTGGGGACACTGAATAGCATAAAAAAGATCAACAGCTATGGCTAGAGAAGTACAGTGGATGGTTCTAAAGTGAATTAACTAAAAGGGAAACTGTTAAACTGAAATTTGTTCCTGATCAGGTAGCAATGCTTAAACTGTGAAACAGACTCCTTAAAAAGAGATTCTTATTCTCTGTCTGGGGAAGGTCCAAAGATCATACTCATGCTGTTTAATGAGAAAATACTGTTCAGTCTAGCATCCACCACGGACGATTATTAAATCACATCCCCTAACCCCAGCCCTGACCTATTATTGACAGATCAGACCAGCTGCAAATATTTTCTTCCTATTCTTACTCCACTTTGGCAACAATGTAAGTAAATGATAAAGACACTAAACACTGTACTTACATGCAACCCCAGTCCCATCAGTGTGCCATTGTTCACTTTTCTAATCTGAAGCATTTTTATATTGTCACTAATACCACCACCCCCGTAATACACATATTGGCCTTACTCTGGTCTAGGCTTTCTGAGTTTTCTGGGAACGTTTCCGTCTGTGATTAAAAAACCAACTCCACTAGAAAAAGTAATAATTAACTATTGGGAACAGGTTGCTGAGATCTGTAATTTCTTCATCACTTGGATTTGTTTTACCACGATTGGATGCTTTTAAAAAAGAGCACTTCAATAAGCGTTGGAATGGATCCTAAACCAGCCAGAATAGTGATTTGTCTACCTCTGTGTCCACACCACGGCTTTCTCCCTAGTATATTGAGAATTTCAATCTCTGCCTGACCATCAGGCACCAACATCAAATTCACTTTGGGGAAAAAAAAAAAAAACAAAACCAAAAAGGAACAAGAGCAAAGCTGTGGGTTTTATTTCCCAGTTTGACAAAACTGGAGCTAGAGAGGATTTTGTTATTAAATTGAGCAGCCTCAGTTGCTTCTCTAACGTTGCTGCAAATCATTATTTTAGATGGATTAGTGATTTTCACAATGGAGGCTCCACAGATTTTCAAGATAATTACTACTCAGCAGAAAAAAATAGAATTGTTTTCAGATCGGTTTATCTTCACCCAAGCCATTTCCAGTCTTTTATTTTAGAGGTTTAAACATAGCACAAGAATTTCTTCATGAGCACGGAATTTTTTTAATAGATACTATTGCAGGCAAGTTCTATAATACCCATTTTAGAAGGGATATTACGTGAACAGAATATCCTTTTAGCATTTTAGGATCAATTTCTACAGTAATAATGACTGGTTTAGTGACTTCTGTAGTATTTTTGTACTAGTCAGACCTTTGAACACACAGCAGAGTGCACCTGAAATTCTATATGATAAATACTGACTATAGAAAAACCAGCCAATGTATCCCAATTGGCTTTGTAACAGTGTATGCTGGAAAAAAAGCTAGGTCTACAGAAAGCTGCCTAGTAGAAGACAGACATGAGGGAAGGACTAAGGTCTACAGGAGTACTTTCTCCTTAAAAAGGCTTGTGGGCCTTTAGTGGAAGAAAACCAGATAGAAATGTAAACAAGTCCCAGGGAAGTGACGCTATGTAGATGTATTTACTTTCCTCATGCACGACTGAAACAGGAGATTTACTGGCAATGGTATTTTCTTGCTACTGTTTTGTTTCTTATTTATGTGAGAGAAGAAAGTTGACCAGTATTAGCAGTAGCCAGTCTCTTGCAATAGAAAAATTAGCAATGTAAGGCGGGGGGGGGCGGGGGGGGGGAGGAATTGAGAAGGAGCCTATTAGAGGTTTTGCAAATTACCAAAGTATTTCCTTCCTGTTCTGGACTCAAGCTATTCTTTCCAGTAATACATGAGAAAAAGCCATTCTGTTTCCATCAGAGTGAGTCTTGTCCACCACGGTGAGAAGATATTTCTGACCTTTTGGG